GTAATCACTAAAAATTAGTAACTGTTTGCATTTTACAAATGACCTGATTTGAAAGTTAATCAAGAGCAGGCATTATTTGTAGGGTTTATCAAGTGACCCAAACTACAAGCTCAGCCTAATAGCTTCTGTAGGAATCCCTACTGTTTTTTTCTTTTCCTATTGTTTAAAGAAACTCACCAGGGGGACATATGCTAGGAGTTAACAAACCATATTAATTCCATTCACTGTAATTGTTCTTATCCTGAGTTTCATTACAGATGAATCTTCACAAATCTGAGTAATTGTGTTTTGATCCCAGAAACCTTTTTGAAGCAGTACTTTATACTTCAGAACACCAAGTTTTCTACTTGAAGCCCTGATTTTCACTCAGCACACAAAATCACTGACAAAGGCTGCACATGAAGCTGCAGCACAGTCAGAAGGTCCAGCTTAGCAGTCTGATTTCTAAAGTTCAGGTTGCTAAGTCAACCAGAAGAGAGAGCTTCAAAGACAAATGTGATAAATGGTTTGGAAAGCCTCAAACCACCAAATGTCAAGGTTTTAAGAAAAGTAAACAGAAAGGAAGTTCATTTTTGCTGAGACTACTATGGCTTACTTTCAGTTGTAAGGCAGGGAAAACGCTCTCTGCTCTTTAATTGAATGCTCATAAAGTTTTAATTAGCAAAGTTTCAAAACATGGCAATCGTAGTGCTGAAAATCAGCCACAGTTTTGATTTACAAGTCTGCAAAGGATTACTTGGTAGCAATCAGGATGGATTGCAGTGCCTAAGCCTAGAAAGCTCTAATATGTTATAAACACAAGCAAATGATGCAGTAATTGCCCTTGATTGCACTACTTAGAAGATTTCTAGAGGCAAGCCAAAGAGAAGTTGATAGCACCTATGTGCCTATGGCAAACAGTTTGTGACAAGATCAAATCCATGTAGGAAATCCTGGAGAACTCTTTCCTTTTTCCTAAATGCAGGTGATACTCAGAAAGCCAGCTCTGGGACAGAGCAACATCAGGTGTGAGGACTTGTGAAACTATCAGCACCCAAAAGGGGCTGGGGAAGGAGAGTGTGGGTTTCCATAAGGTTCCAACAGAACCATTAATGCAGATACCACAGTCACAGAGGAGTGGTTTTCTTCCCTACCTTGTCTGCCTGATGGGAGCAAGCTTTCCTTGTATTATATCCATAAACCTTGTCATTAGCCAGCAAGGGAAAGGGGATGGGTGAAAATGGGAGGGAGCTGTTAGGCTGTGACATTACATTCAAGGCAACTTCTGTGCAAGCAGTAAACAAAATAGTTCACAAACCCATTATTTATCAATCTGAAAAATCCACACTACTCATGACCAATGTAAAACTCTTCCTTTCTCCTTTAAAAGATACCCACTTACTAAAGCAGGAAGGACTTGCATAGTGTGGCCATTTCAAAGTTACAAATCTAAATTTCCATAAGCTTACACTGCGTGAAGAGATTACTAATTTGCCTTTGTGTAATGACCTTCATAATTTATTTCCTAATTGAGTTTCTAAGAGTAAAAGTTTCCTGAAGCCTGGGGCTGGAGGGGACTCTGCTCAGGAGCCTGAGGCAACTCCTCCTCCTCCTCCCCTCCTTCAATTTACATCAGAGGCACCAAACTTTAAGAAATCACAGCTGTTCTGGAAACCTAATATCCACACGTGTTAAACTTAGCAAATAATTGCACACAAATTTGAAATTCCTTGAACTGCTGGTATTTCAGGTGGTTATGTTTTCAAATATTTCACAAGCCATTAAAAATTTTGGATTTGAGACCCAACTATCAGTACTAACTTCACTAATGACAATACTGTTTAATTTCTTATCAGCATATTAAATCTCTGGGCATAAAACTTAAAGCTGATAACACAAGTCAGTCTGATGGAATTCCTAAGGAATTCTGATAGCTGCAAAAAAATTTTTACTCTGGAACCACATGCTACCAGCATCAGATAAAATGCCTGTTCACTTTTACTGTCAGATTTGAGAATACTATTTCTTGAACTGATATTGGGATCCTTAATGTTTCTAAAGAATTGTTTCAAATCAAGAAAGAGTTATACCCCAGCAAATTCCCAGGGAAGAGCTCCCTGTGGAGCTACAAGGACTTCCCTGCTATAAGAATTTCAAAATCTCATTAGAAAGCATTTCCACAGCTCTTTGAGCTCTAATCCCAAATGTAAAGAGCTAGATAAAAAGAATGTGGATTTAATAATTTTTATGTCAGCCATTCTCTTTTTTTATAGATAGCTTATATTCACCCAAAAAAAGATTAAGGTGGCCAGTGAGCTCTTAAATTTAAAAGTAGCAACATTTCTCTGGTGGCTCAGCTCTTGGCTAAGTTTGCAGAAATCTATAAATTTATATTTTTTTAGGACAAGTCACAAAGACTCAATTACATATTTCATTGTTTATTCTTCTCTTCAAAGCCTTGAGCAAAGCAAATATGCATATCTTTAAATCAAATGCAAAAGTATATTAAAAAAAAAAGAAAAAAGAGACATTGCTTTTAATAGCCTTAAAGAAGCCTTAAAGAAGGACAAATAATTGCCTCAAAGAAGGACAATTATTTTCCTCCAGTTAGTATCTGCAGCAATAAAATAACTAAGATCAAACATGCTTCATGTCCTGAGGATCTTGTTTAATATTTAATATAAAATATTTGAGAAATGCACCACCTTTACTGTCTCCTGATTATTTTCTTTTTCCTTCTTTTGGTGACCCACAATAAGTTACCATTTCAAGATCACAAACATAACGCTCCAGCTCCCATTTGATTCATGTGTATACATAAAGCAGGCCAGTTCCTGAGTTCCTTTATTTAAGGATAACTGGCTGCAGTCCCAGAAGGAAAATGAGTAAGTCAAATCATATCTGAAGTCTTATGATGTTGTTTATGATGACTATGATCTTGGACAAGTGGCCTGGTGGTGCTGAACAAAAATTACATAAGTGGGCATAGTTATTCACTTCAGCATTTATCTGGAAATGCCACAATCTTTTTTAAAAAATAGTTTTAAAAATATAGTCACTTTTATCCTTAAACCCTCTTTCATCTATATTACTGTACATGCACACAAAGGGGAAAAAAGAGAAGTTTTATGTTCTATAAATGTTATATGTTCTTATAATACTATATTCCACTGAGGTTAAAGAAATGACTGTAAATATTCCCTTGAAAAATTCAAAGAACCCTGTCTTCAAAATAAATGGATGCATGTTTATTTGCTCTTAAACACAGAAATTTGTTTATGTCACATATATAAAGTGATTCTCTCTTGATTTAAACACAACTAAGACCCACTCTCAGTCTGAGGGAGCTCAAAGGAGCCACCAGTTACCTCAAACATGGCCAAAATATGTTCTTTGGAGAGATTTCTACATTTTGAGGCCAGAATTACACTTCTGATTATCTAGTCTGATTTCCTGCATAACAATTAACCCATAGCTTCCTGTACAGAGCCTCACCAAGTGATTTCTTCATCAAGCCTTTATTTTCTGATTTAACTAGACCACACAGTTTATAAAAGAATTGCGTTCATTTTACTCAATACTGACTTATATTTCAAGTTCTCACATGCAGGAAAAGAACCAGCTGACTCCTGTGAGTACAAGACTTAAAATGAGATGGTCAGCACAAAGTACCCCTTAGAGCTTTGCATTTTCCTCTATTGCTTCTCCTCTGAAGGAAGAATCAATTCTAAGAATTTCTTTGGCTTGGTTTCAGCCGCAGCATGGGCTGCTCTGTGCACTGCCCTGCAGTTCTCTTTCTGTATTCACTTTCTGACTCTTTCTTGCACACACAGACCCCTCCACTAAAAATATTCCCTGTATGTGCTCAGACCCCAGGGAAAACATCAGAATCCAGCCTGGTGCTCTGGGCATTTGCTAAGGAGAGGCTGCCTAAGTAATAGGAGGATAAAGTGCTTCTGACATTTTGCTAACTGACCTCTCATGCTTATCAGTTCCAATGAGATCTCCAGCTCCTAACATCCTAACAGTGAGATTTAGTCAAAAGTAAGACTAATACATAAAAATCTTAATTTTAGAATTCTTAACCTATATTATGTCTACCCCTTCCAAAGCTTAAGCAATTGCAAAAAGTGTTAATAAAAGCATTGTACTTTTCTTTTAGTGGTTAAATAATACTGAATAATTATGAAATAGACATAAATACTTCAATATACTTAAATATTATGAAATAATTACTTAAATAAATAAGACCAAAAAAAAACCCCATAAAATAATACATAAATATCTCCATCCATAAGCTAAACAATGGTCTTGAGGCAGATGTTTTGGTTTCCCAGAGTGAAACTTGGGAAACTAGAGTTTTTCCTTGAAGACTACAGTTCTGTCACTGAATTACCAGGGGAGAGATAACACTTTGGTTAGAAGATGATCTTCACCAGACAACACTGATAACAGCCAGAGGGAAGGCAATAGCTGAGATTTGCTTCAGAGATCTTCCTAGCCAGCAATGGGAACACCACTGCTTACCACTAGAAACCAGGGGAAAACAAAATACAGCCAGAGATGGGCATTGTGAGAGTGAATCTGAAGCTACAAAACTTTCTGACATGAATTTAGCTGAATTTGAGACATTATCTGGGTAGCTTTGTATTTTTCTGACAAGTACCTTTTCCTCTTTGCCCACAGCTGCAGCACAAGTTCCATCTGCAGAGATGACCATCCATCTCACTTGTTTCTGAGAAGATAAATCAGAGCTCAGTGAGGTGGGTCACAATGACCTGAAATTTCAGGCCTTCCAGCACTTTCCAAGTATTCCCAGCTCCTTCACCACCATGGGCATTTATTCAAATAAAACAGAGAATATCCTGAGTTGGAAGGATATAAGGATCACTGGCTCCAAGTCCTGGCTCTGCACAGGACAACCACTAAACCCAGTTTGGGCTGTTTGCTAATGGCCTGACCTTTCATAGTCACTCAGCTTCTCTCACTACCAGGTGTGACCCAACCCAACCAAAACTCACCTGCACTTGTTCAGAACACTTCAGCAGACTCTCTCCTTCCTGCTTTCAGCTCCTACCATCTCTATTCAGGTTGGCTTTAAAGCAGATCCGCTGATTTAAAAAGTACTTTCTTCTCTCTGTTCATCTTCTGTCTCCTCAGTAATGTAGAAGCCTTTCCTTGCTAAACTCTTTTATTAATTTCAAGCTTTCAACATATATTAGCATCAACAACAGCCTCTTCCACAGCTTTTAAAGGATTTTTTGTTCAGTTGTGCTGTAACATCAACTATTTCCTTCAAATGTGGGTATCTTCAAGTCACACTTTGCTAATGTTCCTATTAACAGTGTTAAAGGCTCTTGTTCTGATTAGCAACCCAAATATAATTTCAGCATCATGTTGCTGTTGTTCAGTTCTTGACAATTTTTCTCACACTTTTACACCTAAGAAAATAGAGATGTGAGCAGGAAAACAGTTCAGAGGCTGCAGGAAGGTCAGCTGGAGAGCAGATTACTAGAAAAATCAAAGACAGAAGAAGCATTAGAATTGAGTATCAGTAAAGCCTCAATGTCAACTTCAATGCTTTTTGATATTTAAAACCCTCACCCCAGAACCCAATTTTTTTTTTTGTTTTTTGTTTTCTTTTCTGGTTTTCCTTTTGCTTCTTTTCTTTGACTCCTCAACTTTTTTTTGTATTTTTCCCAAATGAGAACTGGAAAAGAAAAAACCAATCAGTTGTTCAGGGTCTTCTCCCTACATCCCCAACCCTGGGGGATCTTCTGGGACTGGGGACTCCCCAGGGCAGACAAGCACTTTTCCATCTCCTCTAAGGCTTTGAGGCAGCAAACTCTGGTAGAAATTTATTTCAAAAGATTTGGGGACCTGGACTGGGGGCAGTCAAACCCAGAATTAGAATAGTTTGGTGCTATTTCAAGAATACCACTGGGATGGCACCTGCTTACCTTAGCTTAGCCTATTTTTAACTTAATTCAGCTGGATAGCAAACTTTGCTGCATGCAGATCTGTCTCCAAAAAAACTAACATAGCATTTAAAAAAAAGCAAGGGAATTGGAAATGCTTCTCTGTCTGGTTATTTGCTGACTTAAAGTAATTTCCAAGGAGACATTCTGAAAGCTGTCCAATAGCTTCTGGCATTTAGGAGGGAGGCCACACTTACTTTATATGGGTCAGCTCTGCCCTCAGATATGTGATTTTAGTTTTAGTGAGATTCCTATGCTATACCCCATCATCCAAGAACAAAATTAATTAAGCCCTTTGTGCCCAATTATCAGTTCTCTTAAGCTGTGCTGAATTACATCTCTTCTTCCCAAAAATATCTGTACAGAAAATTAGGAACAAATTCATTGACAGATACTTCTCTGGGAAAACACAAACACATGAACAAAACAAATGAACAAAAACACCCACCAAAAAAATCCCAACACCCCCCCAAAACAACAAAAAACCAAACAAAACCTACAAAAAAAGACAGAAAACCCCTCCTCCCCTGAATCCCATTATATTTCAGTGTGAATGAGAACTAAACCTTCACTGTTTGTGCACATTTGAACTCATTCTGATGAGAATAGCAGTCCTGTGATTGCCACTCTTGAGTCTTATTTTGAATAATTTTATTGGCAGTCTGGTTGCTGTCTGTAAAGATGAGGCCACATCTGGTCAAGTGCACAGTCAGTGGGTTCAAGGCTTCAGTTCCCAAATGAATATTGCAACATTCAGACACTTCAGTGACCAGTTTCTCCTTTTATAGACTCTGGATGTAAAGAATTAAACAGCATTTACCTCCCAGAAGCTGTTGCCTTCTTAGCCCATCCGGGTAATGAGAAGTATCATTTACACCACATAAAACTGTGACATCTGGAAAGGAAAAGTCCAAGCTGATAAGATCACACATACAAGCAGAGTGAACCAGGTCTTGATCAGCATTTCAAGTTTGTGGGCTGGCTTGGGTTTTTATGTAGTTTGTTTTGCCTTTAAACAGTGGAGTTGAAGTAAATGAGTGCTAAAAAAATTAGTTGAAAAATAGACAAATAAAGCATTTCTAAGAAATAAAAGCATCTTCAGTTCATACTGCAAACAACTTAAAATGGGAATGTGATGAGCAACCACAGGGTTTTTCTAAAAGACAAGCATGAACAACCCAAAAATATAATGCAAGCCTAAAGTTCACAGGCATAAAAATTTGTATTTCAGTATTATCAGAGGATGAATGTTGTCATGTCATTAGCATTGGAGAGGCTCCTACTTTCTACCACTCACATATTTATTGCAGAATGCAAAGATGATCTTTAAAGTAATGTCATTTTACTAAGAGGGATACATCACTAATAACTCAAAAAAAACACACCGTAATTCCAGTTCTGTTCCTCACAGTAAATTAACATGCACACTAAGTTTCTTACATTTATCAGTCCAAGAGCAGGCATTTTCTGCATATTTCCCCTCTTTGTTTTATTGGAGGTGACTCACAAGAGACACAAAAAACATCTCATTGTGCCCATGTCCAGCTTCCCCTCTCTGCAGTCAGACCAGCTGGACAGTGACATGGAAAAAAAGCTAATACAAATTAATTCCATGCTAAAACTCTTCCTTATCTGATGACAAGCACAATACCAGAAATCTTACAGAAAATGCCACCACCTCTATGATTTTGCTTCTACCTCTGTCCAGTATCTGACTTACATCAACACAATGTAATGGACATCAGATTTCTTAATTAATTAGGTTTATTTCAAATCTATTTTATTTTGTTATTGAAACACCTCCCTGAAGGCGACTTCTTAATATACTTAAAGGCATGAATAACCCAAGTAAATGTCCCAAAGGACATCAGAGAGACACATGAATTTAATATGAGTTAAATACAGCCTAAAGCAAGACAGGAACATAAATGGATCACATAAATATCCAGAAAATTCATAACCAATCCTTGAAGTGCCCATACTCCTATATAGTAGTAGTAATAATAATAATAATAATAATAGTCCTCCATCTTTTTCTCTGCATGTTTAGGTTCTGCATCTGTTCTCATAAATACAGAGATTTAATGCCATCTCCTGTTCCCACACTGATGGTTATATTTACTGCACAGTAATTTCTTAAGCACCCAGTCCAAGAGATCAACAGTTGAGTGATCAAGATAACCCAACAAGAGTTGTTGTTGTTTTATTAGCAACAAGAACTAATTGCACTGACAGACCAAATACAACCATGGCTTTCTTGCTGTGGTTAAAATTGTTTAAAAGCAGGAATATTTCTTCCAGTTGGGGAAAAGCAAGACCAAGCTGTACCTAAGTTTTCAAATATTTTCTTTATATAAAAGCAAAACCAACTTTTTCCTCAGAGAGTCTAAAATAATTGTTTTGGAGAGTGAACCAATCATAAAATCACTGTGAAAATTATTCCTGAAGAAGGAGCACTGATAGCAAGACAAGGCCCCCACACCAGGATCAATTGTAACTAAAACCATAACCTGGCACCCAGGAACATCCTTGGCTTCAGATGCACATCTTGGCAATGCTCTAACTTCAAAACAGGGAGCCTGACATGAACCAGTTCCTCTTCCCACATCAAGTGAATTCAGATTTGGTTTAGAAGGTTTCCTAAATGAATAGTTTTTGCTCTGACAAAAAAGTTTCAGTATCAGAAGATTCAGTAAATCTGCAGCAGTTTTTTGACTCATTCAGAAAAATGCTGGTCAGCAGCAAAGATCTTTACAAGGGCTACTTAATGACAATATGTGCATCAGGCTGCAGGTAACTATTGCACAGAGAAGTTATTGTCCTTTTAAACTACCAATACTGAATCTGCAAAGGCACAGCAGATATTTGCACCAAAGAACAAAATCTAGGGAAGATGTGGCAGATACATTTCTGCTTTTCTGTGTTTACTGTTCCACATCCACCTATTGATTTCAACATGCTGCTGATTTAGCTTTAACAATTTTTGCAGAATTTTTTGCCCCGACTGACCAAAATCTTTGGCAGCATTGCTGCTTGGAAAACGGAAACTGCACTGCCAAAATAATTGCCTATGGATATTATAGGATAAGGATAGATCCAGTCTCTGGAAAAGGCATCATGCTTGCAAATTGCCAGTTTTCACCTGTCCAATACACTGTGCACTTTGGCTTAACACAGCCTAAGCTGGCTCCAGTGAAAACAGAAAAATGCAAGACCAAAGCTCTGACTTGGGAAGGCAACTAAGAGTGTCCTGTCCTATTTGGGGATGGAGGCCTGGAGAATAAAGTGTGTGCTGATTGTACCTGAAATAGCTGTGTGCAAGTAGGGGTGAAAAAGGGGTTTGCTCAGTAAGTGTTAAGTTTAATATTTTAATAATTCCTTTGGATTCCTTTGGCTTTTGTTGGCTACTTTAGGGTAGTTTGGGTTTGCTTTTTAGAGGGCCTGTGCAATTTCCGTTTGACAGGTTCTTCAGATTCCTAAAAATAAGCTCTTCCTGTGGCTTAAATGATTTTTTTTTTCTTCACTATTTAAGTGTTAGAATTCTGTAGAAAGTAGAACTTGGCTTATACTTTAGTATAGTCTCCTTTCAGAAAATCCTTTATTAACAGAATGTAAGGAAAAAGGATCCATGAAGTTATCCACAGTCATCCACTGTCACCCCCTGTAAAACTGCTATTGTGTTAATGTCAATAATTTTCTTTATTCATAAGTTCTATGAGAAGAAGCAAAAAGGCACTGCTCATATCCTCAAAATGTTAGAATTTGGGGCTCTGGTTCTAGAAATCATTTCTTTAGCCCTCCACTAAAAAAACTCTGTGCTCAGGTGAGGTTTTCTTCCTCCTCACCTCCTGTAGGTTCAGATGCAGTTCTCATCTCCAGTCATACTAAATGTTCACAACTATTTCAGAAGATTATTTTGGGACCTTATCACACATGAACTGCCTCCACCACCTCAGAGAGCTGGAGTTCTCAAATCACCTCCCTGCTTCATTGCTAGTCTGAGCAGGATAGAAGCCCCACCTGGAAATTCATCCCACCATTAATTATTAACCTGCTTTAACTGTCACACTATTAAACAGAAAAAGTTACCAGAACACCAAAGTTCCTGGAAAATATGCTGGTTCTCAGTATAGGCAATATTCTAAAATGAAGCTTTTTTTGAAAATGCAATTTTTCAAAAGAGCTGAAATCCACTACTCCAGCTCACTCTCACTTAGCAACTTTTCAGCTCCAGCACAGACAATGCAGATATTGTTCTACCTCCAGCCGACAGCAGGAATATCTGGGATGTTCAACAACACATGGAGCCATCTGATGAGAGATTAGGCAGCCAGCTGAAGGCAGACAACCTCCTCCAAGATCAACCTCTGTGAGCCTCATCCTGCAAGGTGCAGAGAGCCTCGACTCCCGCCGGCTGCAGCGGGAATTGAAAGCAGACAAAAAGTTGCAGGAGATGATCAATATCTCTGAGACATGGGCCCTGAAGGGGCTCACATTTCAAATGCCTGGCTCTCACTGCAGATGTGCAACAGGAATAAAACTTCCTACAGCTCTGAGGGGCTGTTACATTGGAACAGAACGTGGCCAAATCTTAATGGTTATAAGGACATGAGATCCCCCTAAAACGTAGGAGCCAGCGAGACAGATGAGCAAGTTTTAAAACCAGATTGAAAGCAAAGTCCATAAATGCACTGGCCAAGAGTGATAGTGAATTTGCCTATGGTTCAAATTACAAAATCACCTCTCCTGAAAGGAGCCATGGAGAAAAAAACACTGTAAAACACACCAAATGGAAGGTACACAGCAAAGTTTTAAACACAAGGCCAGCACTTCTGTAGATGTACATGCATGATGCCAGCAGCACAGGCAGTGACAGAGTTAAGATAATGTGCCTTCAGCTGACAGGGACTCCATCTAATTGTGGTGCTCAGGGGTGTTTCTGTCTCTCAAGCTCATGACAGCAGAGGGCAGAGGCTGCTCACACAGCCCTCTCCTTCCCTCAGGGCAAACCATGACAGAAGTGGGATTCCCTGTTTCAGAAGGATGCCCTAGTCCAGAGCTCATTTGATTTTGATCCCTTTTTGGCCCTTCTTCAGGTTCTTGCACTACTCCTGGTGTTGTGTGGCATGACTTCAAGGAAAGGATTAAGATCTTCCCCCTCTCAGCCCATTTCCCAGCATTTTGTTACTGTATTTCAGCTTAGTTCTCAAAGCAGAGTCCTTCAGAAGAGGGTTTGAAGACTTGAGGACACAGATGAACCCTGAATCTACTTCTTGGTTTGCATTTTATTTTTTCCCCATCCAAAAGCTCTATACAACAGGCTGTTATAAAAAAGATATGCACTAAAACTAATTTTTATTAAAATTATTATGACCATGATACACTTAGATGAGCTCTGTTCTCCTACCTTCTGTCAGCTTTTTATCTAGGAGGTTCTTTGGGGTTTTTGGGATTTTTTGGGGGTTTTTTTATCATTTGCACTGTTAAGTCTGTACCTAGTCACACTAGTTTGTCATTTCTAAAACATTATGAACTTTTTGTTTATTTACTTGTTTTGAAATGTTATGTCAAAAAATTCTTAAATATTACAGAAGATTTACTCTTAAAAAATCTGCATAAATAGGCAATTGCTCATACACATCATTTGATGGCAGGACAAGGATCCACTTTACAAATTCATGACCAAACATATATAGAAGTAAAAATAGGTAGCTAAGCAAGGTATACGAAAGAAGAAAAATGACATATGAAACCAAATTTTAAAAAAAGATCCTTTCAACAAAAGACCACTAAACATGTATGGCTATTCCAGATGTTTCCTGAGATGAAACAAAACATGCAGCCATTTTTAACAGATTGATGATAGAGGATTAAAATGGATGGAAAAAAAGAATT